TAATGAAGGTGAACTTATTGCTAAAAGAAATTTAGTTAAAGTTGCTTTACTTTTTATTGGAAATTCGCCAAAGTTATTTTTAAAAGAGGTTTGACCTATTTATTTAAATAATGTATTTTCATTATTTAAAATATATTAATTTAATTTCGATTTATATCTCGGTTATTATTATAATTATTATTATAATTATTATTATGATTATTATTTAGCTTAAAATCCATTATCATGGACGTACTCGTAATGGTCTTGTCATGCGTCTCTTTGGTGTCACTCGAGAATCAGTAACAAATAATCTTATGATGGTAGCAGAAACAGTAGAATGGGATTTACGACATTATGTATCTCATCATTTTACTCGATTAACATGGCAAAACAAAATAGCAATTTTATATAATGTTGTTTGTGCTCTTGAAATTCAAAAAAATGGTTTAGAACAATTACAAAATGATTATACTACTGATTATAAAACTGTTAAATCTCATATTGAAATTCCATTAAATGAATTAGGTTTAGGTGATGCAAAAGATTTAATTCCTGTAATTGGTCATTATAGATATGATTTACTTCCTTTTATCGCTCCTGAAATTATTGCTGGTGAAAAATATTCTATTAAAGTTGATATTTATACTTTTGGAATGTTAATGTGGGAATTCTCTTCTAATAGACCTCCTTTTTATGATCATCCTCATGATGCAAAACTTTTTAATGATATTTTTGAAGGTTTAAGACCTAAACAAAGAGATGATTGTCCGGAATGTTATAGTGATTTAATGCAATTATGTTGGAGTAAAAATTCTAATCAACGTCCTAATGTATCTGATTTAGCTAAATGTTTTAGTGATTGGCATCTTTTGGGTAAAGATAAAGATCAATTTATTAATGCTGAACAAAAAAGAATTAAACGTGTTTTGGCTAAAGGTTTAAATCCTGATCCTGGTCGAATGGTTACTCCTCCAAAAGTTCATCCTCAAGCTATTTATACTAGTAGATTATTAAAATTTCCCGCTCTTCCTATACCAAAAAATTCTCAAAAAACTTTACCAAAAAGGTCTAATTCTTATACTGATGGTGATAATGGTCGTACTCAAATGAGTATAAAGGATTTGGCTTCGATTCTTATTCGTGACGAAAGTAAGTATCTTTTTTTTTACCAAAAATTTAAATTGACTACTATTTGTATAATTATACTTTACTTTAAATTTACGTTTACGTTTATATTTACATTTATCTTCCTATATTACAAAGGTTTCTTTTCAACGGCTGCACTTATGCAACGACGTTCAGCTTATCCTGAACCTGAGGTTGAACCTGAAGATGAAGATGCTTTAAAACAATATGAACTTTCAATTCCTAATGATTGTAAGTGAATTAAATTATATAACTCATTTAAACCTATTAAATTAAAACCTTTATTAAATTTTATTAAATACATATATATTTAGTGGATCCAGATGATTGTGAAATATCTGATAATAAAGGTGATAACCTATCACCTTCAGAATTAAATGTAGATTCAATAAATATTTCTCAGGATGATTCTGCTGCTAATGGTGAGAACGATTCTTCTAATGGAATTACATGTGCTAGTCCTACTAGTACGGAACATGTAGAATAAATAGAATTTTTTTTTACAATTTTAAGGTGTTGTAACAGTATTATTATATTTAAAGATGCTGGTGAAATAAAATCAGATTGATGAAATAATTTTACCCACTCGGTGAAATTGATGTTGAATTATTTCACCAGCATCTCTAATTATGATGAATTATGGATTTTGTCATTTTATATATTTTATATATAAAAAATTAATAGTTACAGGTTTTATTGAATTTGGGTTAAGAACAATTTTGGTAGAGTTATTAGTAAATATATTCATTGTTTTTTTTTAAAAAAAAATGATGTGTACAATTATGTATTTAAAATCACAATCTTTGTATAAATATGAACAATAAATAATCTATAAGATTATTTATCAAATTTTGCACCGTTTTTTTATTTTTTATTAAATTTTGTTGATTATAATATAGAATTATAAGTAACACCTAGCAATTACGACAGGGTGAAACCTGAGTCACCAGCTAGTAAAAGTCGCGTTAATTGGTTAAATCTGAGACGTAAAATCTGCGAATATTTATATAAACCTGCTTTTTATTAAATAAATTCGCTTTTTTTTAGATTTTTTAAAAAATAAATTCGATTTTATTAGATTAAATCTGCTAACTTATTAAAGGCTGTTCTTATTTTACTTAATTATATAAAATCGCTTTTTATTATATGAAATTTAGCTGGTATATAAATCAATAAGGATATACAACTTACTCTCGTTCTAGTAAACTATAGAGAATACTATACACATAGTACTTTACTATATTAAGCTTAAGTCTTTATCAAATCTTAAGAGTTTATTTGGCAAAAGTAAGTTATATAAATAATTTTACTTGCTCTTCCATTTGCTATATTTTTCCTCTATACAATAATAGAATTAAATATCGGTAATAGTTTAATTTGAATTGGATACTATATGTAAAGAAGTTAATAACCCAGTTGAATATTAAGTATCGAAATCATGAAAAAAAAAATAGTACATATAAAATGAATGAATTCTACTTATATATTTCAAAGTTATGCAAATATGGAAAAACATCTAAGATTTTAAATTTAAATGGGTGAAAAATGGAATAACTGTATTCATTATAGTTTATTAAAAGTTAAACGATGGATCATATCTATTACATTCGTATCAAGGTATCGATTATTTGTTTTAAAGAACATTAAAAATAAAGTGGCTATCTTTTTAGACCGGTTAGAAATTTGGTGAGAATTAATTGTTTATTTATTATGTTTGATATTTAAAAAATGTAAAAGTAATGCTTGAGCGACCTTTATCAATGGTAAATTTTTGAAGAAAAAGGTGGGTTGTGTCTTGCTGATCTGTTTATCGAAATGATAACTCACTTAGTTAATTTATTTAATTAAAGATTTACTTCCGATCCATCGAGTGAGGTGCTTGAGAACACCCTTAGTTGGTAAATCTAAGTTCTATTTCATACATTTTATTTAACTGATGGGTATAATATCAGATACAGTATCTAAAAAAAATTTAAATCAAGAAAAAAAATAAAAAATCACGCCTGGCCCATTCTATATATATGAATCATTTATACTTAATTAATTACATTTCATATTATACGTGTGTTAATTCGGGACACTATTTTGAAAATATTTGTAGAAACTCTCAAGAGCATTATTTCAGTGGTTTATTCCATATATTGGCACAGAATTTCAACTGATGTCGTACACCCTAACCGCAGTTCACCAGTTTCACCTGCAACTCTACTCCGGACACACAATGCTGCGCACCTGCAGGATCAGTAAGGTCTCGGTCTTTAAATCACATGAAAACACAATCCATTTTATAGGACTTGGATCCTGAATTGAATTATTATAACAATACAAAATTAATTTGATTGGATCGGATATAGGATCTAAGTTCTATAAAATGTATTGTATTTTCATGTGATTTAAAGGATCTGTCGCGTATTTTTTTTTGCGGCTACATTACTATGCTTCCTGATATAGAGAACAAATGAAAAAACCATACGGTTTCGATGGCAAGTATATGTTTTCTGAAACAGACGCGACTTTCCATATTATTAACCACTGTAATGCTAAATTTTTAGTCATTAAACCGTATTTCGTGTGGGCATCAGAGCGCAAGCTTACCCTATGAACACTGACTTCATAGCGAAGTCATTTACAAGTTCGAGTGACATTCTGGGACTGAAGGGTGCATGGATAAAGCGTTTCGCCTCAACTGCAAAAATATTGAATGCCGAGGAAAGTATACTCCATCATTTTCTCCGTTTAAGACATCGTTTAGTGATAGGTGATGGGTGATAGTGGCGTTGTGGGGGCCTCTGACTGCGGTTATACTCCACGACATCAGTGTTGTGGGGGCCTCAGTTGGGCTTACTGGCTGCGGTTATACTTCACAACATCACCCTCGTTCTAGTAAGTTCAATCGGGTTTACTGGCTGCGATTTTACATTCCCAACACTGCGCATCACCGTGCATCGCGTCTTCTGCTTCAATAAACATACTCTAACAATTTTTAAAATTGTGGAAATATAGGTGATTAATGACAAAGCAAATTGGTCTTGTATCGTTGAAAAATGGTATACGGTAGGTTATAAAACTTATGAGTTGGTTGTTTTTGATCAATCTTGCTGTGATTAACATGCGATGCATGTCAGAATCATATTTCAGAAAGTTGTCGTGAAAAAAGTTTCGTTATGTATTCCAATGAGAACGAAATCAGAACAGGACATGGAAAAGGTTAGTAATATGGATTTAAACCCATTGATAATGTATTTGGTTTAATTTTACAAACTTATTTTCAGAAATCCTTTTATTGTATCTGGAACAACTGACGAGAGTGACATAGATAGTTTTGCTGCGTCTGAATCTAATACAACATCAATTCAGGAAGAGCAGTCATCAAACGAAAGCGCCGGTAAGAAACTCTTATTCTCAGGTATTACTATCTAAATTGTTCTTGGAGTTATTATTTATTGTACAGATAGATTTCGAACCCCACCCCATCAAATTGTAGGTAACACATACGACCAAGGAATATCAATAAATGAAAATATATTAAGAATGCATGTGAAAGTTTAGTGAAATTAGATGAATCCAATGTATTTATTTGAAGGTTGCTAATTTTTAATGCATATAACTAATATTCGATAATTTAAATGTAAACACAGTATTTTGGAGATTTTATTCCACATTTTATAAAATATAAGGAATTACAAAAAAATAATCAATATTCGTAAGTAATTGAACTGTTTAGGGCATACTGTATTTTATAATTTATCACCAACATAATTTCAATATATAGATGCGCAAACGATGATGTAATGGACATTCGAGGAGAAAGTGGATTTTCAAAATTTTTGACGCTCGATGATTATATAAAATTACGAACAAAAAACCCAAAGAGAAAAGTTGAATTACCGGAAGATTGGTGTAATTTTCTTGAGGAATATTTTAAAGTAATTACTTTATATGCTACAATTTGTATTTGTCATTTACAGCAATTATTGATTCTATTATCTCATAGGAAACAACAAAAAATGGATCAATAAAAAGTGTACCTATTGGATTTGGTGCTGCAAAAGAGGGAGATAACAAAGAAGTAATAAAATTAAAAAAATATTTGAATCGGGTTATGCTTCCGTTGTGAGTATTTTCTAAGTTTTTATTGTTATTTATTGTCTATTATATCTAACATTTTATATTACAGAATAGAATCATTTTCAAAATCAACCCCAGATATCAGTGCACCAAATAGCAGTGAACATCCAAATGCCTCCAAACATACTCTTCGCCCCAGCCAAAAAATTAATAAAAAAAAGATTCACGGGTATCAAAAAAATTTAAAAAAAATAAAAAAAAAAACAGAAGTAAAAATTAGACCTAACGTAAGATTGGTCGGTTAGGATAGAATAGAGCTTCGGGAATCATTTTTTCTCAAGAGCATTACAAGAGTTTGTAGGTCTCGATTGGAGGGCGTAAGTCTAGGTTTAATTAAGCTACCATTATATTATTATCAATTATACTTTGTTGAATTTATTTTTACTCCAGCATTGAATTCCCGTATGGGCCTCAAAGTATCGAAAAAATAATGGATATAACCATATTGTGGACAGGGTAGTTGAAAAAACGGGCGAAGAGATTTTTGTTGGAGAACAAGCTGGTCTCCCTACTAAGTGTGATTTATAAACTAGCAACCGATTCTTTTAAATTATATAGAGAAATGAGAGATTGCTTAAATTATAGAATTTTACAGGCCATGAGAAAGGGTGACACGAATTACAATAATCGGGCTGTTTTCGGAATATTGGGTTATCTTTTCGAAATAAAAATGGTTACAATGTGGAAAGATGGTATATATATATATGATGAATATGGATTGCTTCTAAACCGAGTATGATTTCGGATATGAAGACAGTCATATTAAGGTTATTAGAATTTATGGTAAGTTCCTATTTTGTAATTTTATGAACATCTTTAATTGATTCATTCTAAGTTAATTCTGTTATAGATGATTATTAAAACTAAAGATCTTCCTCAGCATAACCGTCAAAAAAAGCTAGAACACGTGATTTTTATAGCTGAGAATTATGCTACTCCGAATAATATTTTTATTACGAAATTATGAATGATTTGTAATACCCTTTATTAATTACAATTAAATATTCGTAGCTGAGAATTATGCTACTCTGAATAATATTTTTATTACGAAATTATGAATGATTTGTAATAGCCTTTATTAATTAAATATTCGTATTAATATATTTTTTTGCTTATCTGTATTTTTTTTCAACTTTCTTTTCTTTTATTATATCTGACATGGATTCATCTTTGACTGATCCATATTGTAATGATTGCAAAAAATTTAACCCTATTAATAAATTCATGGGAAATGATATAAACAATATACCCACTAAATTTCTAACTTGTCATGTGAGAATCGGAGATTCTGTAGATTTTAAGAATACTACTGATGACAAATAAATATAAATATAGCTGATCAGAAAATTTTCTCAATCATCATTACAAAAATCATGGGTCACATTAGAGTGCAAATTTTAACAATTTAATTGGTTAGTGATCATAAGTTCATCGATGTCCATTCTATTATAATAAATAAATTATAATAAAATTAGATATATAAACTTATTTTTTTTAATTTGGCAATTCTGCCTTTATTGTATAAGGAATGCGTAATAGATACATAAGTTCCCAGCTATTGCCAACAACCCTTCCTTCTCTTCAATAAAGACTTGCCTGGCTGCTCAGAGGTGCCCAGATGCAATCTGCCACAGCAATAATTTACTTCTTCCTGACATCTAACTTACTAGATAACTCTCTGAAAAAATCACTGAAAGCTTATTGCTAGCTTTTATATAAACTTATTATAATAGTCTTTTTTTATTTATTTTAATAAGAATATAATAGAAACAAAATTACAGAAGAAATTTTATATTAAACATCAAAATTTGTGTGGACAAAAATAAATATTTATATATATAGCTTTATATAGTACAATCCAAACTTGATCTCATAGTTTTGATTAATTATAATGTGCAGCACCTGAGGATCACATCTTTTTGCAAAGCACTATAATTTTATAATATATTTAAAATGTCCTGCTAATTATAGTTTAGAATTTGGTATTTAAAACAAATTTATTTGCTACATATAATGTTAATTGTCTTAACAAAATTCTTTGTTTTTAATATACAATTGATAAAATTATTTATATTTTAATTTGGGTAGAATAGTTTTACCAGATCACATACCAAACATGTCTAGTATGCAAACCTCATATATTTTATCCAGATCATTTTCTAAATTGTTAATTTATAGTATCAGTATGCAAATTTGGTGATTTTTTCTTTTTAATATCATCACATATGTTTGCGCAATGCAGTGCTTTGAAGCTAGCACTAATATAGCTAATACCAAATACTAACAATTGCTTTTAAGCACTAACTAATAACAAAGTTCAAATTTTATTATAATACCAGCAAAATGTCAAAATGACAATTTATAAAAATGTTATTACAGAAAAAAAACTTAATATCAATATAGATTCATTCTATTTTAATTATATTCTCTACTGCTACTTATAGTGAACCTATTGATTTTGGAATAGTAGAAAATAGGAACTCTTTATATTCTTCATCTTGTGATTTTTTTTTTTCAACTTACTAATTAACTTATTTAGCAAAGAATATTAAGTGTTTAATATATATACTTATTGATCCATCCATAAATAATAATCATTATTTTCTATTTTAACCAGAATTTCTATTCTGATTACATGGTGAACCTGACTAATGACAGCTCCTAGTCGATTGAAAACAAAAATCTCTAAATCAAATCCTGATACCAGGACTCCATAAATTTTAACTTTATTAAGCTAAAATCTTGATGCATATATTGACTATATTGATTATAAAAATATGATATAATTATATCATAGTTGTCTTTTACCAGTTTATATATTTTATACCTATCTGAGATAGTTTTTTCTCCAGATTGATTGGAAGGGCTTTTAGAAACTTCTTCTATTAAATATTCAAAGTGTAATAACTTTTTTTTAAGATAATTTTCTGAACTTCAATATCCATGTACAGTTTCAACTAGAAAGTCCAGCTTTTTTCCTCTTTTAACTTCAGTAATTTTGTTATTTTCCTTGTCTAATAAAATTAAATTCTTTTTTGTTTTGAACCAGTAGACTGATATTCATTATTTATATATTGAATATTAATGAACTCTCTACTGATTATGGTAAATATAAACATAGTTACATTTGCTTGCCGACTTTCTTTATTTAATTGTCTATTCAGTTTTAAATATTTACTGCTATTTCTTAATTGTTGACTAAAATACAAAATAAATCAAACCCAAAAATATTAATTATCAGATAATAGTTATAGAATTTCATAAATTAAATAATTAAATAAATTAAATACAAGTAATTCTTTATTTTACTAAGACTATCAGCACTTATTGTTTCTTTTACTGTTTTATTAATAAGGCAGCTTAAAGTATTATTAATTTAATCCTATTTGCTTTGGGTAAATTTTGCCTTAATTCAATCTTCTAGATAAACTGTATTCACAATTGACAGTTTGTCTTTTTTTGTATATTCAATATTGTAATCAGTTATAATTTTTTTTAGTTGAGATTGTACAATAAAGAATAAATCTTGCATTTCAACAATCCATAGCTATCTTCGAAAATGTTTGTCTTCATCTTTGAGAAGAGTAATCTTACTTTTTGCAAAAAGTACTAGTTCATTATTTTGTGTAAAAAGTTTTGCTTCTTAATACAGTAAATTTTTTTGAAAAAAGACAATTAATATGGTGCAGGACATCTAGTTACATTATAGTGCTGAATTTCGAAATATATATATAAATATATATAGTAGTACTGAAATTTTAATAATTAGTGCTGAATTTTAAAATTTAATGCTGAATTTTTTAAATTTATATAATGTTTAATGGTGCTGAGATTTTTAAGAGAAATTGAATAAAAAAAAAAAAGAGAAATTAAAGTTTGAAAAAAAATTTTTAATTTTAATTAATTTATTAAAATGTATTTTACAATATAAGCACTAAATTTTTTATATTTATTAATAAATAAAGTGCTGAATTTTTTAAAATATTAATAAATTAAAGAAATTTTAAATCAAAATAACTTTTTAATAAAAAAGATTTTTTAAAAAAACTCTCTATACCAATATTCTTTGGGTTTTAAATAATATTATTATAGAAAGTTTTTTTTAATTGCTTATTTTTTTAAAAAGTTATTAAACTTTTATTGCAAGCAATTATTTT